CTTGAAATGTGGTGCCCAGAACTGGACACAGTACTCCAACTGAGGCCTAACCAGTGCAGAGTAGAGTGGAAGAATGACTTCCCGTGTCTTGCTTACAACACACCTGTTAATGCATCCCAGAATCATGTTTGCTTTCTTTGCAACAGCATCACACTGCTGACTCATATTCAACTTGTGGTCCACTATAACCCCTAGATCCCTTTCTGTCGTACTCCTTCCCAGATAGTCGCTTCCCATTCTGTATGCATGAAACTGATTGTTCCTTCCTAAATGGAGCCTTTGCATTTGTCTTTATTAAACTTCATCCTATTTACCTCAGACCATTTCTCCAATTTGTCCAGGTCATTTTGAATTATGACCCTATCCTCCAGATTAGTCGCAACCCCGCCCAGCTTGGTATCATCTGCAAACTTAATAAGCGTACTTTCTATATCAATATCTAAATCATTGATGAAGATATCGAACAGAGCCAGTTCTTTACAAATCCATGCTGGCTGTTCCTTATCACCTTGCCACATTCCAAGAGTTTACAGATGATTTCCTTAATTACTTTCTCAACTAGCTTCCCTGGCACGGAAGTTAAACTAACTGGTCTGTTGTTTCCTAGGTTGTTCTTATTTCCTTTTTTATAGATGGGCACTATATTTGCCCTTTTCCAGTCTTCTGGAATCTCTCCTGTCTCCCATGATTTTCCACAGATGATAGCTAGAGGTTCAGATACCTCCTCTATTAACTCCTTGAGTATTCTAGGATGCATTTCATCATGCCCTGGTGACTTATATTCCCAACATATATCTGGATAGTTGAAGTCCCCCATCACCACCAAATCTTGGGCTTTGGATGATTTTGTTAGTTGTTTAAAAAAAGCCTCATCCACTTCTTCCACCTGGGTAGGTGGCCTGTAGTAGACTCCTAGCATGACATCACCTTTGTTTTTAATCCCTTTTAGCCTAACCCAGAGACTCTCAACACTTCCGTCTATGTCCATCTCCACCTCACACCAAGTGTGTTCATTTATAATGTATAAGGCAACACCTCCTCCCTTTTTCCCCTGTCTATCCTTCCTGAGCAAGCTGTACCCTTCTATAGAAACATTCCAATCATGTGTATTATCCCACCAAGTTTCTGTGATGCCAACAGTGTCATAATTGTACTTATTTATTAGCCCTTCCAGTTCTTCCTGCTTATTTCCCATACTTCTCACATTTGTATATAGGCATCTCAGATCCTGATATGACCTTGCCTCCCAGTTTTGCACTGACCCTCCTTTCTCTGTGCCATTGTAGCCCACGCTCCCTCCCATTTCCAACCCATCTTCCAGGTCCCCATGTTCTCCACTTACCTGTGGGCTTTGCTCACCTGTCCCCGTCGAATCTAGTTTAAAGCCCTCCTCACTAGGTTAGCCATTCTGTGTCCAAATAGAGTCTTCCCCCTCCTCGAAAGGTGGACGCCATCCCTGCTTAGCAGTCCTTCCTGGAATAGCATCCTATGGTCATTGAAGTGTGTTCATCCATTAAGTGCAATGAGCATTGGATTGGATTATGTATTCATAGAAATGCTTCCTCTTTATTATACACTGTACATGATACCTAGTTTTCAAAAACAAGGTCTATACTAGGAGTGCTACATTGGCATAGCTGCACCATTATAGTGCATCTGGTGAAGATGCCCTGTATATACAGAAAAGCATTCTCCTGTCAGCATAATTACTTCACCTCCACAAGAGGTGGCAGCTATGTCATCAGTAGATAGTGGTTAGGTTACTATAATTTGCATCCACTCAGGAAGGGCATCTTTTTCACATCGCTGAGTTAGTTAAGTTAGATTGATGTAAGCAATAGTGTAGACCTGGCCTTGGAGAGAGAGAACTAAATTTAATGTAAATGTGTAAGTTTGTATCTATCCCAATGAAGAAAGTTATAAAATAACAGTAGAAAAATTCATACTCTTATAAAGTAATATGTATTTATTTGTAACTATTCTCTTTTTTGTGGCCATCTTATAGATAAGTATATGCAACTAATGTTAGAAACTGACTAGAACTTTCAGCATTTTTAAGTTCTTATCAGGGTCTAACAAGCCATATACCTGAAATAAAAAGGTTCAGACACAAGGCTCTTTTCAAAATAACTTCTAGGCTGAGGAAGGCATTATGTTGCATAAACTGTAGGATAGAATTTATATAGAATAAACAAGCAATTCAGATCATGAAAACAGAGCTGGGGTGGTTTGTGATGGTCCTCCTATTATAAAATGTACCATTACTTAATTATCATTTGCATATTATTTATTTTACATAATATATTATTTAGTCTCTTTTCATACTTGTTTTCCTTCAATATGTTTGCTTTCCTTCTCTTTAACCTTCCATTTTTAATAATCTGACTTTTTACTAATAGCATATTCATATAATGCCTGTTCATATATCAGGTAAAAAAACTGAATGCTTTGGTGGCAGATAAGAAGTCAAGCCTAGCTCCAGTTATCAAAGAATTGAGACAGTTGCGGCAAAACTGCCAGGTTAGTAAAAATGTTTAGGAATATATACTGTAATGAACATTTATGTGCTGTATGTGCAATGGGACAAATCTGTAGAAATCCCCGCTAAATTTTGCTTTGCAATTTTGCCTATGAAGTCAGGGCATATCCAGATTTATCACAGTATTAATGTGTTTAGTTTCAGTGGAGTTACAGCAGCATAAAACTACTGCCATAAGTGGCAAATCAGATCTGTAGGTAAGTCTGTATGTAAATTGCCTTTCATAAATTTGTGTTAAAACTCCTTGGATGTGCAGATTTAGAGGCTGATTTGAGGCCTCTATGAAAATTTAAGGCATGTGTTATTTAAGTTTTATTCCTAGTTATTGGCATCCAGAGAGCTAGACCTTATGATGGTACATGTCTATACTGTCTTGTAGATTTAAACAATTTAGTTGTAAACTTTGTAGGGTTCTTCTCCCCCATAGAAATATTTAAATTACAACTCTTTTAATTGCATGATAACTTTCTTTATGAGTGTATGGAAGGCAAAACCACAAATATACATACAGCTGGTCCCCGAGTTGCGAATGGTCGAGTTATGACTATTCGCATTTACGACCAAAGTTCCCATGGAGCGGTCGTAAAGGCGGTCCCTGAATTACAAACGCGATCTGCACTTACGAAAACCGCGGTCGCTATGTAACTCAATGGGGTCTGAGTTATGAATGGATCGAGTTACAACCCAGTGTTTGGTCCGTAACTCGTTCATAACTCGGAGAGAGGCTGTAATTTTTAAACCTCTGTTACCTAATACAAGACCATAATCACCTTGGAGGAAATCTGTAAGGTGTAAAAGAGGTAAACTCTGGTGAAACACTGGTTGAGAGAAATGAATTTTCAACATGAAGTGCCTAAAGGGGTCTGAAACAGTGTTCTCTGTAAAATGGGTACTCCAGAGAGATTCAAACACCTCCCAGCTGATTAGCAGAGGGCCCACAGCTGACAGCATGTGTGGTGGTGCACATATACACATCTCAGGACACAACAAAATTTATTCCGTACATAGATGGAAAAAAAAATAGAGCTGCTGTTCTCAAATTTTTTGGCCTGTGGACCACCCAGCTCAATGTAAACCTTTCCATGGATCACCATTTGCTAATGGAAACTTACCACAAATTAAATAATTACACCTAAGCCATTTTGCTAGTGCTGCAGCTGGGGTGACTGGGTTAATTTAAATTATTAAATAGATGAAGCATTTTAACTTTCTTATGCTAGTTTATCAAACTTCATCAAACTTAATTTTAAATAAAGTAAAATATTAATTTATGTCCAACACAAAAGGTTTCAATATTTTCTTTATTTATGGTATATGTGTGGAATCTTTTTTTGTCAGGCCCACTGACCCACAGAAAAATCAACTGGGGACCACACAAGTGAGAAGCAAAAAAACTAGTCCAAAACCCCTGAATCCTCACTGATGTGGCCCCCAACTGAAACACCTCACTCCTCTGATGCTCTAGCCCCATGAGCAAGGGAAATGGACAGCGGGACTGAGATTCAGGGCTTCTTAAAGGCCAGATTTTCTGGGATTCCAGAGTTAGTGGATTTTGTGGACCCCCTGTTCCTGGGGTAGGAACAAAAATGAGGGGTTCAGTGTGCGGGACAGAGCTGCCACAGTGTGGGATAGTGATGGGGTGCAGGAACTGGGAGGGAGGTGCAGAAGGAGTAGGGATTTAAGCAACTAGTCAACTAGTTGAGTATCCGATAAGCAAAGTGATGCTAGTCACTTCTCCCCCTTGCTGCCTCTGTCAAAGAGAGGCAGCTGGGGAGTAGGAGTAGGAGCTGGTGCTGGCGGAAGCTAGCTTAAAAGCTGGTTCCCTCCAGCATGAGCTCCTTGGGGCAGGGAAGGTAGAGCACAGCAGGAAATGGCGTGAGTGGGAACTGAAGCAGTCTCTGTTGGCATGGTTCTGCTGTGATTCTGCTTTTGAAATGTACAAGAGCCTTGATGGGGCTCTTGTACATTTCAAAAGCAAAAGCTCCACAGGGAGCATGGGGCCAGTGGGGATTCCCCTTTTGAAATGTAACAGTTTAAAGATGGAGCCACCCTTATCGACTACTTGAATAGATGGAAATCCCATTGAATATTCAATTAGTTAATCTAAATTTAATATTCCTAAGGGGGTGAGGGTGCAAGGTCTGAGTGGGAGGTAGGGTGGAGAAGTAGGCTGGGATTAGGGTGTCTGGCCTGGGGGAGTGAGCAGGAGCAAGGAGAGGGCAAAGAGCAACCGTAGATGCAGGAGCAGGGTGGTGGTAGTTGTCTGGCCAGGGCAAGGGAGATGAGGCAGGGAGTGTTTGGGGCTAAAGCTGTGGGCCAGAACGGCTGAGGGGATTCAGAGAGATGGGGAGCAGGATGCCACTGGAATAGGACTGGGGTCAAGGTGGTAGTGGGGTTAAGGTTGATGGAGTGGCAGGGTGGCTGAGTGCGGTACAGCCGGGGTAGGTGGCCCAGGATGTCCAGCCCTGCAGGGGATGGGGTCCTGCATGGGTCCAGTCCATGGCACCCTAAGTCCCCATGAGTACAAAGCCCCAAAGGGCCCCAAGCCTCCACCTGCTTCCTGTGTGTGTGCTGGGTCCTCAGCCCCAGTGTTGTCTCCTCTCACCACTGCTGGGTGTGGTGCAGCTCAGCCTGCTGCTGGTGAAGGGGGGGAGCATTGGCCACTCATATGCCATGAAAACCCGTCCCACCTGGCCAAGCCCTGCACAGCCCAACCTGCTACCTGCCTCACGGGACCAACTGAGTGATGCACCACTCTTACCATGTCAGTGATGTGCCTTTGGCCTGCACCAAGGGTGTGTGTGAGTTTGCTTTCTTTGTCTCCCTGCCTGCGGGATTTGATGCTGCATTGTCATGGTTGCGTGCCAGCGGTGAGGAAGCAGCTCAGCCTCCCCGCTGCATGGTGGAGAAGGGGGTGAAACTCCTGCTGTGGACCACCTGGAAGGCAGCCGTGGACCACTTGTGGGCTACAGACCACAATTTGAGAACCGCTGAATTAAAGGAAACACTTATCTGGAACTCTCAAATCAGCAATATAACCATACTGTCAGACTGAGGTTTTTTTCCCTCACCATAGTAATTCTATGATAATGAGATCAGAACAAAACAAAACATAATTAAATAGTTATAACTGAACACACCTGTACCATCTTATGTACCGATCCTTGATGATGGGCAGATGTATCCATTTGCTTTTACAGGGCAGTAAAAAAAAAAAAATGTCATCCAGACCCTCAACTTGTGTATACTATCCCAATCAAGTAAATAGAGCTCTGCCTCTTTTTTCCAGTTAAAGGTCTAAACACATTCTTTTCATAATTAATTTTAAAACAAGTGTCTGCAAATGCAGAACTATACAGGATATTTTATATACAAGTAACCAATATATGCTCTTTATAAGAAGACCTATGGTATCTTATTGGTTGCTAAAAGTTTAAATGCAATATCAATTTTTCTTTATGCAAAGGCCAACCTTCTATTGCTTTATAAAGTAAATAAATGTTGACAAAACTGTTTTGATATGGAACATAATTGATCTAAACTATCTTGTAAGATTAATGTTTAAAGAGCAAGTAAAATGTTTACACATTGTGAACAAATTAGAAATTAAGTCCACCAAGTCCAAGACTAGATACAAATACGTAAAGGAAACTTGAATGTTATGTTGTAGTTTATACTGCTGATCTTCCAAAATGCAGGGCTAGAAGTGATATCCTTGTAATTATGCTCATGTTTGCTTGGTTTATGTAAGATGCTTTATGTTCCAATAGCTTGGACAAGAATTTACATGCTTAGGTCCATATGTTACTAAATTGGTATTTTCATTTACATGACCTTTGCATGTTCCACACCAGGAGTTAACCCAACAATGTGATGAAAAAAAAGTCCAGTATGACAGCTGTGCAGCAGGTTTAGAAAGTAATCGTTCCACGCTTGAACAAGTAAGATTGTTATTTCTATATATATAAAAATTCTAGGAGGTATAGAATTCATTATGGGATTAATTCCCCATATCCTGCCTCTTCAGGGGAAGGATGGCCCAAAAACTGGAGCACTGGTGGGAGATCCAAACTTAATTTCCAGCATTGCTACAGACTTTCTGTGTGAGCAGCCCCTGTCCACAGCTGCCCTTATCCACAGCAGGCGGAAGCTGCTTCAACCCCCACTGTTTACTGGTTAACTGAAACCAGAAAGCATTACCCATTTAGCATTAACGGTTCACATTCCTAGTACAGAATTCAAAGATTTTGATACCAAAGTAGTGAACAATGCTTTGCACAATAAGCAAAGAGAATTCAATTACTAATTCACATGAATGTAAGGGCCATTGACTGCAATCAGAATTCAGCAAACACAGTGATGGCTGGATGTTGCCCTAAATGCTTCCTGTTGTACTTCATACAATAATACTCTGTCTGCTGTAGACTTTCCAGGATGCTGCCCAATAAAATAAATTTTTTTCATGCTGCAGGAAGTAAAAGGGCTTCGTGAGGAGTGTATTCAGGAAGAAAGCAGCTACCATTATACTAACTGCACGAAAAGGGTAAGTCCACCAGAGAGAGTCTTAAACTTGTCACAGAGTGACACTCTTGCCCCTCTCCCAAGGGGAGCAGCCATGTCTCTGGAGCTTCTTGGGACCATGACCAACCCTGCATATCCTGCCATGCAACTGTGATTATACACCTACACCCTTCCCACCAGGGCAGTGCAGCCTCGCAGCTGGAGTCAGTAATAAACAGGTGTTGACCCTCCAGCTCAGGGATTGAGAAGGTGGTAGGGGGAGTCAGACCCTTCCTACTCAACTGGGTCCCAGCCCAGGGCCCTATTAGAAGTGGCACAGTCTACTGCTCTCTCAGCAGGGAATCCCACTGCAACACACTGAGCCACAATATCTCTGCCTGGGCTACTTCCTATCAGTCTTCGCTGGCTTCCTTTCAGGGTCCTTCCTCCATATCCCCTTCTGTGGCATGAATATCTCGCTGGCTGGTTTCCAGGGCTGTTCCTTCTGGCGGTTTGCCTGCAGGAACTTGGGCAATACCTCCTTTCTTCAGCAGCCAGCCCAGACTGAGCCACTCTCTAGGCCTTTATACCTGAGCTGCAGGTGAGCCTGGTTAAGCCCAGCTTTCCCAGTGCGGGCTGGTACACCTCATCACACTTGCACAGATGACAATATTTAAGGAAAGATGATATGTCTAAATTATGCTGTATGTTTCCTTTTAGAATCTAGAAGTACAACTTCAACGTGCTAAAGATGAGATGAAGACCTATGTCTCTCCAGATCCACAAGACAGAAGAAAATCAATAAGGTAAATGTTCTTGTCTGCCTCTTGCATGTTAATTCAGAGGATAGTTAAGACTGAAACTGAAGTTATACTTTTTTTCGTTAGTATGTGAACTGGAAGAAGGAATTCATCATCTGAGTTTAAAAATAACATTCAAAAAATAAGTTCCTACATCCAAAATATATTGTTGTATGCCCAGGAGTTCTCTCAAGCATACCAAAAACCTTTCCCTTTGTGTTGAATATTATAGGCCAGACAGTAGCTTTTAACTCCAAGCTCATGTTGGAGAAGGTGCAGAGATGTTTTGCTGCCGCCAAGCCTGAAGAGAAAGTATGGCTGAGTGAGACTGAGAGAGTCAGCCAGATTTCCTCCAGGGGTTCTTGAAAGTGCACATTGAAGCCATAAATCTATCACCTTTTTAAAGGAGTTCAGCACATCCTCAGATCCTGATCTAGCTAGCTCTAACATTGGTGTTAGAAAAGAGAAGTGCCTGTGCTCCATAGGAAAAATGTGTGTTGCTCCTTGTACCTTCTGATACCATCCACCCCATCAGACACAACTGGGTGCTGCTGGAATACAAATATTTATTATTAATAATAATAATAATTAATAAGTCACTTATGTGCAGAGAAGAAGTCAAATGTTGTTAGTACTCTAGATCTAAAATTAGGAACTGGTGCAGGAGAAAAGCAAGAGGGCAGGTTGAGGAAGAAGACAATTTAGTGAATGTAACTTTAAAACACAAACCAACCTTCAAGTGCTTCCCATCCCCTAACCTCATTGTATGTTTTATTCCTTTCCACCACTTGTCTGCCCTTATATGACTGGATGCTCTTTAGGGTAGAAACTGCATCTTCCACTGTGTATGGAAAGTGCAGGCTACCTAGGAAACATTACTGACATCTGTCTAAACATGGAATCAAGTAACTGGGCAAACAGAAGAGCAAATAGAGGAAATGCAGGAATTGAAACATATTGAGAGGAATTATGGGATTCTGGGCATTGTGAGTATGACTTGAATGGAACATTGCCACTTCCATTGCTGTCACTGTTTCACTGAACCTTTCCAAAACCTGAGAAAAGAAATTAGGCAAGATGATAGTCTATCTGAAATAATAAATGTTCTATTTTGACCATCAGTGAGTTCAAAAAGCATTCACATTTATTAGTATACTGAAGATTTTCATATGCGGGTATTTACAAAACGCAAAATAGAGAAATTGTGTTTCTAGAATACCTTTCAGAATGTGTATGTATTTTTACTGGGCATTGGAATGTAAACAGAGTTTAAAATGAACTATAAATAGAACAGCACTTTCCTAATACAGTATTGAACAAAAAATGTCTTTATTCTGACCCTCTTTATTGGATATAAACTCTATGTTCCATACAGTCAGTACTAAGGAATGTGAAAAGTTAATTTTGTTCTCTAAAAATAAAGGTTTTTTTTTTTTTCTAATTAAGTTGCATTCTTTCCAGTCATCATTATAAATAGTAAAGAAAAAGGCTACCATGGAAAAAAAGAGGTGTTTTTTATCATTGTTGTGCACTAAATGGCTTTACTTAAAACAAACAAAAATACATTCTGGGACCAGCTCCTTAGTCGTGCCTGAGTAACATTCAGTGTACTTAATAGGAAGGAGAAGATTTTAGGTGGCTTTCCACTCTTTTGAGCTGATGGGAATAGCCAGGAGCTAAATTGGCCCCCAGTACAACTTAGAGCAGCCTGATGACTGTTCTAATTTGCACTGAGTAGACACATCCTGAGTTGTTAGAGCACAATGTGCACCATCCACACACTCTCTGATCCCTAACACATCAACTCTGCTGAGAAATCAAGAGTTGGATTCAGATGGAAGGGAGCCTAAAGAATATACTGTAGCTCAAAGATGGGGACTATGTAGGACAAACAGCATCATAGTGGATCCTCCACCCTTGCCTTATAATAGCCTATTAGGACAACCTGGTGTGGTTTATTGTATTTTATTCTTTTGAAGACTAGAATTTCCCCCTGCTGAGCAATTTTGGAAGTTCTTTAGATACTTGAAACACTGTTTTTCATGAACTATCTATCTCACTGTAGCTAAGAGAGCTTGTTTTTTTAATATCTCACCTATATTTGAAAAATATGTAAATATGGGCATAAAAGCATATCCGTATTTATTATGATTTACGTATCATATCCTGCTGTCAACTTTCACGTACATCAGAAGAATAGCTTCATCCACCAATGACAGCAAGAGGCCAAGATTTTTAATATTGGTTGTTCTACATCTATGTTTAGGCACTTTATTAAAAAGCCTGATTTTCAAAAGTGCTAAGCACCTAGCAATTCCTGTTGCAGATCCTTTGGAGTAGCAGGGTGCTCAGCATTTTGGAAATTAGGCCACCAGTGTTAGGTTTTGCCAAATATATATACAGGCAGTCCCCGGGTTACATGGATCCGACTTACATCGGATCCCTACTTACGAACGGGGTGAGGCAACCCCGCACTAGCTGCTTCCCCCCAGCAGACTAGGGAGACGTGAAGC